GTGTATATTTTGTCCAGTAAGATTGCTACTTTCTGCATCGGTTCTCTTCCTCTGAGCCACAATTTGAACAGTACACAGAAAGAAATCTGGGCTGGAGCTCATCTGTGTACTTCCCTTTTCTTAAAGATTGTAGCCCCTCATTTCCTGACTACATTGGTTACTTTCTTATTACTTCCAAAGACATTTTATATATTTTATCTAGTTTTTGTGGTTTTATTTCAGTGGAAATAAACTCATAGTCATGGTTGGAATCAGAAGCCTCCTTAATTACATAATATATACGGTCTATAAGGGCCTATATGATCTGACCCCTACTACGCTTCTCTTCCCTCATTTCAATTCAGCCATACCGGCCTTTATTTTGAATGCTTATTCCCACTCCTCAGGGTATTGAACTAGTTGTTAACTTCTGCTTTTGGAAAACTTTAAACCTATTTCCTTACATGGTTGCCATCTGTATTAGTCTGTTTCCATTGCTTATAACAAAATACCTGGGTGATTGGGTGACTTACAAAGAAAACAAAATTTATTGCTTACAGTTTCTGAGGCTGGGAAGTCCAAAGTCCATCTGGTGGTGGTGACAGTGACCCAGGGGTCTCACATTGCAAGATGGTGGAAGCAGAGAGAGAGCAAGAGAGACAGACTTTCCTCTTCTTTTAAGACTCTCAGAGCCACGCCCATGACCACCATTTTTAATCCATTCACTACTGCATGGTCCTATAATCTAACCACCTCTTCAAGGCTCCACCTTTCAATTTCCATTATAGGATTTCCCACCCTCTGAACAGTCACAGTGGGGGATAAGTTTCTAATACATAAAACTTGGGGGACACAATACAAGCTTCAGTGAGTTTTGGGGGGACATAACTCAATCCACTACACCATCTTTATGCAGATCAGTTCTTAGCTCAGTTATCACTCAAAGAGTCTTTTCCTAAGTGCCATTATATAAAAGCTCCTCCCTTCCCTAGTCACACCATATATATTTTCTTCATGGCAATTATACTATCTGAAATCATCTTGCTCTTTGTTTACTGTCTTATTGTTTATCTCTCATATAAGCCAGTTCTGGAGCAAAGCCTGGCACATTAAAAAATACTCAACAGGGCTGGCTGGTTAGCTCACATGGTTAGAATCTAGTGTTGGTAACACCAAGGTCAAGGGTTTGGATCCCTGCACCAGCCAGCTGCCCCCCTCCCTCAAATGTTCAAGAGATGCTTATTGAATAAATGAATTATGGAAGTGAGGATCAAGAAACATATACATGTTGAAATAGACGTCTTCGGACATGAATCTTTATTTATACCTAGTTAGCTTTAACAAGGTGTCATAAAAATGAAGCCTCTGCTTGTACCAAGTCATTACCTCTACTGAGCCAGCAGAACATCCATGTGTTCTTTGATAAGCAGTCCTGCCTTGAAGTGCCCTATAGGTGTATATGGTGGACCTATAATGTATATATAATGTTTACAGTACATATAGTATAGTGTATATTTAGTATATATAGTATATGTAGAATATATAGTGTATATAGTGTGTATATGGTGTATATAGTGTGTATAGTGTATATATAGTATATATATAGTGTACATAGAATGTATGCAGTGTGTATATAGCATGTATACGGTATATATAGTGCATATAATGCATATACAGTGTATATAGGGTAAAATGAATTTCCTAGTTTCTGATAGAGATAGTATATTTTATATTGAAAAGTGAATGGGGCCAGATCTGAGTTAGATCAACCATCTTTCCACTGGTTTGGGGGGTTGTGCCTTCTGTAAAGTGTAGGCTTGCCTGACACAGCCTGAGCTGGCAAGGTTCCCAGATTTCTCTTGGTTTCTTGCTTCTTGGTCACTGTGATTTCAAGATAGGCACATGTACTCCTCCCTATCTCTAGAGGCAATCTGTGGTTGGGTATAGGGTTTCCTCAGGGTAGGCTGAAAGATAGGCAGTTGCTGGCGTCTGTGTGCATATTGCTAATTTCTAGCTTTAAACTGGTTTAAAATAATCTCCCACTTGTCTGAGCACATGCAGACCCAACATTGAAATTAATGGCCCCTCAGGGACTTCTGATGATGTGTTTAGCCTGTCTGACTAAGACGTATCTTTGCCATGTGTCTGCTCATGAACATGTACATTTATCTGCAGTGCCTACCAGCTGCCAAAAATAAATAAATAAATAAATAAGGGCTGGCCTATTAGTTCAATTATTAGAGTGTGGTATTAGAAAACCTAGGTTGGGCCGGTCCGGTGGCGCACTGCTACAGTGCGCCGCCGGCGCTCCCGCCAAGGGTTCGGATCCCACATACAGACCGGTTCCCGCTCACTGGCTGAGCGAGGTGCGGGTGCAGCACCGAGGGTTGCGATCCCGTTGCCAGTCCCGGTCCAGTCCGGGCATGACACTGAGGGTTGCGATCCGTTGCCGGACACGAAAAAAGACAAAAAAAAAAGAACACCTAGGTCAAGGGTTCAGATCCTTGTACTGGCCAACTGCCAAAAAACCCCAAATCTGGACTGCCTTAGTCAATGCTCAAGATTGGCAACAGCCTCAGGATCATTTTTAAACATGATGAGCAGTAGGGATTACATGTCCCAAGCTTCCTCATTCCCCAACATGCTGCATTGGCAGACTGGGATAAAAGTACACCAGGGTGGTGGGAAGACCCAGGGATTTTGGTTGAGATTGTCTACAGGCTAGCAAAGTTCATCCTGGGCAGCTCACTCAATCTCTTTGAAGAACATCTCTGCACCATTCCTCAGTTTAATTAGAACCTTACCCAGGCCTGATGCATGGTTCAAATGACACAGTGGATATGAAAAAGCTTTAAGACATCATCTCTCCTAAGGGGAAGGAGGGGACACTGGTGTGGTGTGCATAAGGTGCTGCTAAAGATGCTGCATACAGGTCAGAAAAATTGTCACTGGGGCCGGCCCGGTGGCGCACTGCTATAGTGCGCTGCTTGGGAAGTGCGGCGGCGCTCCCGGCCGAGGGTTCGGATCCCACATACAGACCGGTTCCCGCTCACTGGCTGAGCGAGGTGTGGGAGCAACACCGAGGGCTGTGATTCCGTTGCCGGTCCCGGTCCGGTACAGGGACGACACTGAGGGTTGCGATCCGTTGCCGGACATGGAAAAAGACAAAAAGGAAAAAAAAAAAAGAAAAGAAAAATTGTCACTGACACACAGATTTAATCTAAGTCCTCAAAGATGTGTTTTGATTTTTTTTTTTTTCCCATCCTTTAAACATGAGTCTAAGTTTTGGCTTAGAATCAGGACTCACACGCAAAGGGTTTCGGTTTATTATTAATAATGACTGTAACTTTTTTTTTTTTTAAAGATGACCGGTAAGGGGATCTCAACCCTTGGCTTGGTGTTGTCAGCACCACGCTCAGCCAGTGAGCAAACCGGCCATCCCTATATAGGATCCGAACCCGGGGCCTTGGTGTTATCAGCACCACACTCTACCGAGTGAGCCACGGCCGGCCTTTTTTTTTTTAAATTTATTTTTAATTTTTTTTTTTCCTTTTTATCTTTTTTCGTGACGGGTAACGGCTCGGTGTCGCGCCCGTACTGCGACCGGCAACGGGATTGCAACCCTCAGTGTCGTGTCTGCACCGCGCTCAACCAGTGAGCGGACAGGTCTCCATATGGGATCCGAACCCTTGGCGGGAGCGCCGCCGCACTCTACCGAGTGCGCCACCGGCCAGCCCTTTAATTTATTTTTTAAGATGACCGGATCTTAACCCTTGACTTGGTGTTGTCAGCACCAGCCTCTCCCAAGTGAGCCAACCGGCCATCCCTATATAGGGATCCAAACCCGTGGCCTTGGTGTTATCTGAACTGTATTCTCCCAAGTGAGCCACGGGCCCACAGGTATTTTCTTTATTATCATTTCTAATCTTCGCAATTATACTCTACATTTGAGCTCTTGCCTAGTCTGCCCAGGAGCAAGGATTATGACCCAGGTCTTTTCTGACCTGTGCTCTGAACCCATATTCAATGCTGCCTTACTCTCTAGGTAAGAAAGACTTTTGAGGAAGGTGGAAAGGAAGGAGGGAGAGATGTAAGAAAAGGCTCTTAGATTCCGGAATACACCTAGTCGTGTAAAGTCACCTCTACACACATAAAGTTTTTTTCTCCAAGTCACTGAACTGCCAGAATGGTCTACCAGCCATCTTGGTTGTGGCAACCCCAATTCCTCTGATTTTTTCTGTGACGGCAACCAAGGGAATTAGACAAAGCTGCCCTACCTAGGCTTTTTGAGGAGTCCCAGCAACCCTCCCGGTAAGGAGCGCCGCATTCCCGCTCGCCAGCTCCAGGGCGTGAGCCATTTCAAGCTCGGCCATCCCCCTGGCCCTGCTCACAGCTCGCGGGTCGCCGCCGGCTGGGGAGGGGCTCCGCGGGGCCACGCCGGCACACGCCCGAGGCTCCGCCCCCTCCTTTAAATACGCGACGTCGGCGGGTGCGTCGTGCTCGCCGCGGACTCAAGATGGCGGCGTGTGGACATGTACGGAGGATGTTCCGCTTGTCGGCGGCGCTGCAGCTGCTGCTGCTCGCCGCGACCGGGGCCCAGAAACTCCCGGTGCAGGGCGGCCACAGTCAGGTCAAAGGCGCGGGAGCCAACTATGTGTCCTTGGTAGGGCAGGCTGGAGGCGGCAACCCGGCGGGTCAGCAGCTGCCCCAGCTGCCTCAGTCATCGCAGCTCCAGCCGCAGCAGCAGCAGCAGCCGCCGCAGCCGCCTTTCTCACCACACTTTTTTCAACATAGTACTAAAATTTCCAACCAGTGCATTAAGACAAGGAAAAAAAAGGCACACAGATTGGAAAGAAAAGAATAAAACATTTTCTGCTGACAGATGACATGACTGTCCACACAGAAAGTCTCAAGAAATCAACAACAAAAAAAATCCCCATCTAAAACAATTGAGAATGCATAATATAAGCTCAACACACAAAAACTAATTGCATTTCTAACTATGAACACATGGGCACACCTGGAGCAACAACCTGGCGGTGCTCGAGTGCCTGCAGGACGTGAGGGAGGTGAGGAGGCGGGACAGGGCTGGGAGGGCCAGGCCTGGTGCGGGCCCGAGGGTGTCGCCGGGCTTGGAAGCCGCTGACGCTGGTCTGCTGCCCTCTCTTCCTCCGTGGTGCGCTGGCTCCTTTCCTCCCTGCCCCTCTCTCTGCGGTCGGGGAAGAGGACCCCACCCCCACCCCTTCCTTCCCCGGCCCTTGTTTCTCTTCCTGTTACGGGGGTCTGAGACGAAAACCTCAGCTCCTGGCTGCAATCTGGGAAGGCCCAGAGCATGTTCCTGTGTTTGCCCTGTCTTTTGTGTGATGCTCAGTGCAGAGTGGCTCCTCGTCGAAGACCGGTTTAGGATTTTGCTGTCAGTTTCGACTCGAATAATTTGTAGCAATCCATTTAAACGTGAAAAATGGTTGGCGTACTTAAGCTGTTAAAGAATGATCTGCTGTTTATTAGCACTAGATAATGTTTGGTTAGGTAACTAGGTTTCTGTTCTGATGTGTATTGTAGACAACAGTGAATTACCGTCTTTACCCTATTCTTTTGTAATTCGCAAATTACTGTTATTTATTTACCTGGTGTTGAAGCTGATGTATACTCTTTTTTCCCCCCTCGCTTCCTTTGGTCACTTTGTAGTGAACTTAATGTTTAAGCTATTTACTCTAAGTGATTTGGAGCCCAAAAGCTTGAAAAGTTGGGACAACAGTTGAAGCTGCAGTTCATATACAAGTGTTTGTGATTGGGTTGTGAGGTCTTGCTCTTTTCAGAGTTGAAAATGATTTTATTTTATTTATTATTATTATTATTATTTTTTTTTTTTAAAAAGATGACCGGTAAGGGGATCTTAACCCTTGACTTGGTGTTGTCAGCACCACGCTCTCCCAAGTGAGCCAACCAGCTATCCCTATATAGGGATCCAAACCCTTGGCCTTGGTGCCATCAGCGTCACACTCTCCCAAGTGAGCCACGGGCCAGCCCTTGGAAATGATTTTAACAGTACCTCTTATTGAAATCTAGATTTGATGTTGCTTGATGTGATTCAGTTAAGTGACATTGATAATTTCTTCTCTAAATTTAATACTGTAGACATAAACACATATTTGACAATTCTCAAAGTTAGGGAGCATATCTGCTAGGAATACTTTTCAAAGGTGTGGTATATAGAGGTTAGCCCCGAAGGTTGACAAGTAGAATGAAGCTGCTGCTCTGTACCGTTTCATTTGGGAAATTGTTTTTATCAGAATTGTCTAAGGCGTTCAAGGCCATGGGAAGACCTCTGGTTTGTAGAAATATGCTACTCTTGAAGTTTTCCTCCATCCCACTGAGATAGTTGCTCCAATATTCTATACAAAAGTAATTTCCAGGGCCGGCCTGGTGGTGCACTGGAGAGTGCGCTGCTTGGGAGCGCGGTGGCGCTCGCGCCGAGGGTTCGGATCCCATGTGGAGACCGGTTCCAGCTCACTGGCTGAGCACGGTGCGGGCGCAACACCGAGGGTTGCGATCCCGTTACCAGTCAGTAAAAAAGACAAAAAGGAAAAAAAAAAAAGTAATTTCCATCCTGTAACACCAAGGTCAAGGGTTCGGTTCCCTGTACTGGCCAGCCACCAAAAAAGGAAAGAAAAGTAAATCAGAAGGGGAAAAGACATGTATAATTAGGAAACAGAAAGAAAGGGAGTTTTCAGAGCCATTAGAAATGTGGGTCCTGGGCCAGCCCGTGGCTCACTCGGGAGAGTGTGGTGCTGATAACACCAAGGCCACGGGTTCGGATCCCATATAGGGATGGCCGGTTAGCTCACTTGGGAGAACGTGGTGCTGACAACACCAAGTCAAGGGTTAAGATCCCCTTACCGGTCATTTTCTGGGGAAAAAAAAAAAAAAAAGAAATGTGTGTCCTTACATGACTTCTATAGCTTGAAGACTAGAAGGATGAGCCCTTGTTAGTCTTCATTCTTCAGCTGCTGTCTAGTAGATATAGCTAAGATTCTTAGCTCTGTTAGACTTTTTGGAATCTTCTATTTCGTCTTTAAGCATACAGAATAGGTGTTGTTTCCTCAAACTAGGATCCTAATACTATATTGGTGACCAAACACATTGTTAGTATTTTGTGGTAGAAACAGGACATTATTAGGGAAAGTGGCAAAAAATGGCTCATTCAGGGAGTGCATGTCTCTTTCTTTGTGTGCACTATGGACATTTGGAAACCTCCACTTACAAAAGCTGTCTTTGTCATGCATGTAGAAGTGTGTAGAGACATACATAATCCATAAATAACTTAGATTTAAGAGTCTGTCTTTTTTTTAAAAGATGACCAGTAAGGGGATCTTAACCCTTGGGTTGGTGTTGTCAGCACCAGGCTCAGCCAGTGAGCTAACCAGCCATCCCTATATAGGATCCGAAGTTGTGGCCTTGGTGTTACCAGCACCGCACTCTCCCAAGTGAGCCACAGGCCGGCCCTGGAGTCTGTTTAATTTAGTGAGTACTATCTTTCTTGTATTACTTAGTTTAAAGAAAATTACACTGGCCTGAAAATTTAGTCCCAGTTCTACCATTGACTGTAAGATAATATCTCAACAAGGATATTATTTCAGTAGCTACATTTTTCTTCCTTTGTGGGAGTGATATATAAACTCTGAGGGTAGGTACTATGTTCTATATTTCCTTTATCGCTTTCCAGAGTACCTAATTCAATGCTGGGACTCAGGAAATATTGTTGATTTATTGAGATGGTAAACTAATGGAGGTGGTTTTATGCTCCAAAGGAAGAAAGGTGTCATGTAAATTGGAGACGGAGGTATTTATGGGGGTTAGGGGACCAAATTTCCAATTTAATCACTTTTCCTCCAATTTTATATACAGAAATATTGAAAGAAGAGTACCACGAACACCTGTGTGTATTCTTCAGGAGGTGGAGTTATTTTTAAACTAGTTTTCTTTTTCTTGAAAGACAGCAAAAAGAAATTTTATTCCACTTAGTTTGAGATTAATTAAATGTTATGTTTGAAAGAGCATAACTTAGGGCCGGCCTGTGGCTCACTCGGGAGAGTGCGGTGCTGATAACACCAAGGCCACGGGTTCGGATCCCACATAGGGATGGCCGGTTGCTCACTGGGTGAGCGTGGTGCTGACAACACCAAGTCAAGGGTTAAGATCCCCTTACCGGTCATCTTTTTTAAAAAAAAAAAAAAAAAAAAAAAAAAGAGCATAACTTAAAGAGGTAAACTTACTAGCTAGGCACATTTGAAGAGAAATGTATCAAATACGTTTTGTACTTGCTGTTCAGTAAATATGACTATTTAATAAGGAAGTAGACATGTACTTTTTAAAAATCCTTTTGCATTCAAGTTCAGGAATGTGTATTTGGAGTTAGAATTATGAAAAGGCAGAGCATTAAAGTATTTAAGTGGTGGTATAGTAAACCACATTTTTACCTAGAAACGATATGTGGGTATGTAGTGTTAGGTTAAGTCTTAAGTTCAGATATTTTAAGGTTCTCTCTAGTGTGGTTCAAAGTTATATAGTAATTTACACACAAAATTTAATTGAAAGTACATATGGTTACTTTTTTTTTTTTTTTTTTTTTTTTTTTTTTTTTTTTTTTTCCG